ACACTACTGGATTTCCGATCTACCCACTAAACTAAGAACCACTTTACACAGCATAATAAACAGTACCACAGGAAAGTAATGCTCAGTAGCTTTCATTTGAATGGTCACACTTTAGGATTTTATCCACAGACTCAAAAGTTAGAACCACCTTGTACAGCATAATAAACAGTACCACAGGAAAGTACTGCTTAGTAGTTTCCATTTGAAAGGCCACACCTTAGGATTTCAGCCACAGACTCAAAAGTTAGAGCTACCTTGTACAGCATAATGAACAGTACCACAGGAAAGTACTGCTCAGTAGCTTTCATTTAATTGGTCACACTTAGGATTCCATCAACAGACTCAAAAGTTAGAACCACCTTGTACAGCATAATAAATAGTACCACAGGAAAGTACTGCTTAGTAGCTTTCATTTGAATGGTCACACTTAAGGATTTCATACACAGACTCAAAAGTTAGAACCACCTTGTACAGCATAATGAACAGTACCACGGGACAGTACTGCTCAGTAGCTTTCATCTAAGTGGCCACACTTTGGGATTTCCGATCCACAGCCTCAAAAGTTAAAACCACCTTAAACAGCATAATAAACAGTACAACAGGAAAGTACTGCTCCGTAGCTTTCGTCAGATGGTCACACTTTAGGATTTTATAATCCACAAAACTAAAAGATGAAACTACCTTGTAAAGCATTTAAACAGTATCACAGGATTGAAAGATATCTCATGTTGGGTGGACACAAGCCCTTGTTTTACGCAGATTCAGAAGTCTTATTAAGCATTTTTTTTAATATCCAACATTTGTTAATATTTATATAAATAATATTGAAATAAATTATTGTAATTAGTTATATTAGATTTTTATTTTTGTTTGTATGGTAAGTGATCTGAAACAACCATCATTAATATTACGAGTTGTTATTATTATCAGTATTATAACTATTGTTATTATTGTAATTACTATTTTATTATCATTATTGTAATTGTCTGATAATAATAATAATTACTATTATTGTTATAACAATAAAACAATAATAATAATACTGATGATAATAATAACTGACTAATATTAATAATATTATTGATAATAATAATAATTTTTATTATTATTATTTTCTTCATCATTATTATTATTATTATGTTTATTATTTAGTGTTATGCTCCACAATATTACAGTTATATATGGTTTCCATGTACTCAGCTTAAATCCCGTACTTCCTTAGCCCAACACACTCTCACATATCAGTAACAAACTGGCCCCAAGCTGATAAGGCGCACTCATGTTATCTACGGTTCTTCGCCTGTATATATTTTAAACGTAATTGGTGTTATGGTGGCTAACTAGAGAACTAAATTGTTCACTTCGCTGTCATACTCAAACTTTATTTAATATGAATTCAATCGTTTATACTGTAAACAACAATCTATAAAGTCTGTAACTTAGCATTAGAGAAAAATTGAAAGAAAATGCAGTGAAAAGAACTGAGCTGAATTAAACAACGCAGAGGCTTGACCCGTTTTCTGCCGCATGAAGCTCCTAGTAGAATTGTCCAACCCCACTGGACAAGATGCTAGTTTATCGCAGGGTTCAGGGACTGCAGAGAACAAATAGGAAATGGGGAACTGATTAACGACCGCGCGAAGGCGGGAATAATTAGGGGGTCCGATGGTATTCTTCCCCGGGAAATTTTGAAACAAAGACTTTCAGAAATGCGATTTCCAGCGTTTTGGGGTGCATTTGCGACATATTTAATTTCATCAAATTTTACCCATAGTGTTTATGAGAAAAGGCATTTCTGACCATGATAATAATAGAAATCTTTAATAGAGTAAACAACGTCACAAAATTATTAGCTGGTGGATCATCTTTTAAAGAAGGTTAACTGATATATACAAAAATATATTGATACAGTTTAACATTTTTTAAAATCCGCATCGTAAACGAATGTTTGTCAGCCGAAGAGCATACTATTTACTCGTAGAAACATTTAAAATGGCGGCAAAATTATTGCAGTGGCTATATCCCCCAACCTCCCCGGCTTCACGTTCCCTGAGGTTACCACAGGCAGTTTATCGACAGTACCTATTTATAAACCTGACCTACTAGTAGTTCAACGCGAGGGCTGATTAGCGCTAACCCGTGGTTGAATGTTAATCCGGTTTTCCTTTTTCTCTTTATTCAAAAGTATTCCGTAGAATGATTTTCCCCATTCGTTTTAGAGCATCTTAACCAAATTGTAGACAAAAAGAATTGAACTAAATTTGCTTTTTAAGCTTTTATATCTGAATTCAAATTTCGCACTACCCCCGGCTTATCTTAACCCAGCTTTGAAAAAACCGGCCCGCTGGGTGAGGAGTGACAAGGTGGGGCAAAGTTTCTTGGCTGAGAAACGCGACCTCGTTGAACTCGGACCTAGAAATAGAGCCACAACGCCTCCAATATTATTGCGATACTTCATGGCGCCATTGAACAAATTATTGAATCACGATCTGCCGCCGTTTTCTCTTTAGAATTCAGGGGATGAGAGAGAACACACATTCCTTTTCTTTCAAAAGAGACAACAAAGATCTCCGAGACTATTTCAGGGGTCGAGGATTCAAATCGTCCCCGACTGAGCAAAAACGATGAAAGTCATGCAGACTCCACTAAGTGAAAGCATTTGCGAACTGATTTCTGCAACGATGCAACTTTCGTGAACCCGCCGTCCAACATTTAACAAAAAAAGAATTTCAGAGCACAAAGCGTTTTTCTCCACTTTCGAGACGAGACCATATCAGGAACCATCTAGATCGCAAATTTAGGGTGAAATGGTTAAGGCGATTATAGATCACTGATTGCGATCTGTAAATGTTGAAATTTGCTTCTAGTGTAGAAAACTCCGCCCATAATCGTTTTGTAAAATCAGTTTACTGAGAAGTAGAAAGGTCTGAGTGGGTGTAATTGACGTTAATCCTGGTGATCAACAGCTCAGTTGCAAAATGTTTTAACCACTTCACTCCCAAAAGTGACTTAAAATTGAGAAAAAAAAATTTGAAAAACTCAAAATTAAACAGAAATTAAAAATTTCATTTTGGAAAACGCTGAAAAACAAATTTCACTACCTGAAGGTGTTGCCAAAGAGCTTTCATTTTAATGGTCACAATATAAAGGATTTCGTCCACATAACCAAAAATTAGAACCGCACTTAAGGACTCCATGATTATTCACTTCGGGATTGAAGGGTCTGCTGCAATCCGAAATATGTTTCCTTTTATCTAAAATTCGCACTGAAAATCTGTCTGAAAAGTTCCATTTCCCATTTATAAACGTAAATGTACTTGTTTTCCCATAGCTTGGAACAGTCACGTTTTAGGTGATACAAAGTGGCTCTAAATTCTGTATTTCAGTGAGATTCTGCAGTACTAAGATGGTTCGTTTAGTTGCACAAACCAGTAGTGACTCTACTCATACAGCACAAGGCTACTTTACTTAGTAACTGTTGACAATGCAGTGAATGAACTATTTAGGTGTCATCATCATACAACTCAAAGCCGCGGCGGCAATGAACAGCACTTGCCGTAGCACTATAAACAGTGCTCGGCTTAGTTTGTACTCCTATGTACAGAGTGGTTTTAACTTTTGATTCTGTGGATGAAATCCTAAGATATGACCATTTCAAATGAAAGTTACCTAGTGCCGTCGTACTGTTAATTATGCTGTGCGAGGTGGTCTGTAAACGAAATCCCAAAAGTGTAACTTTTCAAATTAAAGCTACTAATGTTGCTACCCATGAAAGCTGTCTTACTTGTATGTCGATTTATATGGATAAGCATGACCAAAAGCGCGGGAAATTCTTGCCTGTGGTTATGTTTATTATTTGGAATAGTTGTTTATAGCCTTTGAGTCAGTGGATAAAGCGTGACCATTCAAATCAAAACTACTGAGCAGTACTTTCTTTTATTGTAACTTGTGTTGTTCTGAAGATGAGCAACTGCCCATTTGCCGATAGTATCTAAAAACCGATGAAAACGAAAGCCGCTATGAAGTCAGTAGAAATTCTCTGTGGACAGCAATTTTTTTTTTTGTTTTCTTAATACCAATCTTTATTAAGAAGATTTGAGATATTTTTTCGTGTTTGTGGACATTAAATGTTCAACGGGTTAATTTCGAGCCGATTAGGAGAAAGACAGACGTCATCCGTTTGACCAGGCGAAGCGATAACTACCTATAACGATTCCCAGGTGGACTGAGACACGAAGCAACTCCATCTTGCTAATTAGATGAAAAAAACCTTTTAGTAAAACTACCATTCAAGCCATGAAGCCGACAAATTAACAAAACTGATGATTATAAAGCAACTGTGCATTGTGTTGCTCCTAATGACTCCCCACTGACAGTGTACTGACTCTTGCTCGGCTCGCTGAATTTGTGTGTTTTATTTTCTTTTCGAAGGTGGAGTTGTGGTTGCAGATTTTATCCACCAAGAACACAATACCTACAGGGGTCCAGCGAGCTCCTGAAAGTAACCCCGAGGGCTATAAAACTTGATCCAGAAACGCTTGTACCTGACAATTCTTACGATGAAGAGAAGTTCGCCGAACAGATCCGGTAGGTCTGCTTTAAGTTATCCAACGATATAGATCTTGGATGAGCAGGTATCGCCCAGGCAGGGCCTTATCTTTTGCGCTTAATCGCCAACAGATCGGCCGCTTTGAACTGATTAGAGCTTTCGTTCTGTCTATGTTGTTTTATTGTTAAATGCATTGTCTTAGGATTCTTATTTTACCGAACGCGATTTGTCATTGACATGCTAGAACATATTAGCTTGGCGCTTACAGGCCGGCTCTCACGGTTCTTAAAACAATCAAAAAGAGGAATTATCAATCGAGAAAACTCTAGACTAACGAATGTTTTTTATTTCTCCTTATAAGAGTAAACGGCAGGTCTGTGAAGTCTGAAAACATTAGGACGAACGTTTGGCAAACGTTTCTAGGTACAAGGCTGAAGAACGAAGTCTACAGATGCGGCGCTTACAATACACGCCCATGTCTTCCAGGCGTTTGGTACCCCGACTTCATTTGATTTTTGCAATGATCATTTCTGCTTGTGGATTACTGATGGCTTGCGGGCCGGGAAGAACAGCCATCGACACCAGAAGACGCAGCGATCCGTTGCAACAGAAGGAACGTGTCCCTGATGTAGAAGAAACATCGAATGAAGCTAGCGGGCCTTACAATGGTGTAGTCATAAGAGGAAGCGATGAGTTCAAAGCGCTCTCAGAAAACTACGACACAGATATTGTGTTTAAGGATGAGAAAAAGAACGGAGATGAAAGACGAATGACCAAGGTATATATATATATATAAATAAATCCTATAATCATAATTGAGTATTTTAGACTGAGTCCATTCTGTGAACTTAAAAGGGAAGAGTTGCCAAGATTTAGTGCTGATTGAGAATCCAACGGACGCGTTTGTATAAACCATGACACTCCCACAGAGTTGGGTAATGTAAACATGTGAATTTCATTTTGTGAAAAGCTGAGAAACAGATAGTATCATGTGAAAGTACCGTTTGAGCCGAAATTCATTTGAAAGGTAAAACATATGATTTCAGTTAGAGTCAAAAGTTAGAACAACCCTGCATGTAAGCGGACTCCATCATTCGCTCTGGAAGTGAAAGTCCCGGGGTGAAAGTATTCGTGGAAATCCCTCGTTAACAGAGAGGCTTGGTCCTGCTAAAATCAAAGTTTCCTTGAAGCCAGAGAGGATAATATTTCTCTTGCATGATACTAGTAGACTACATGAAAACTACTTGAATTGTCTGAAGACGGGTCGAGTTATGACAAAACGGGCCAAACGTTTTAAGTTTGCCAACGTCATCAGGGAAAAAAATCTCTTAACAATCATGAAGTAATTTTACTTACACCTTGGAAAGTGAATTTTTGTCTTTTTCCTGTAGTTCAAAGGTCATTTTGAGGATAAGCTAGTGTACTTGCACTATTCTTGCAAGGTTAACACAAAACCTCAGAGAGCCGCCATTTTGTGATCATACCATCCCTGACGTACTGGGGTGAAACCAAATTGGGGAATATTCTATCTATAACGAGCGGAAAGTTAGCCTCTTACAGTACCCGGAAAACTGGGATACCCAACGACGGCCTTTCTCCCACACACCTTCTTTAGGCTATTCATTTTAAAATCGGCGCGATAAATTGAAGCTAGATTTGTCAAAAACTTCAGTTGCTAACCTCCTGCAGAAAGATCAGACCATTCATGAGAATTGCGAAATTAACGCGTCGTTTCATCATTCGATTTCGCGAATTCACTTCTGCGCATTAAAAGAAGATTGTGAGACTTCCTCAACGGTAAAAGGTTCAATACATCATTCACATTTGTAATTTTTTTCGCGATACATAGAAAGTCCTAAAATATACATGTTCTTGAACAGTTCTAGTTTGTCTTCTTAATTGTCGATACGCTGCAAAATGACAGAAACGAGGGCAATAAATACCTTTTAAGACAAAGCTTGTGATTAATTCTTTACAAAACGTTCTTTTAGATTTTGGAAACGTATTTCTGGTTACGTTATTGTCTGATCGAATTACCATGAAGTCGATTACCACCGAGTTCATTTAAACACTTTTTGGTGTTTCACAACGATGAAAACACTCCTTCTAGTGTTTAATATAGTTTCTCTTGCGCAGCTTGATATCGTGGTTGCGATAGCGTTTTTTTCTTCCGTCTTTATCACCTTTGTTTCAATTTGCCCAGTTTTCAAATGTACGCCAATTTTCATGGAGTTGGATTTTAACGGACCGTGTCTAAGTTCACAAAGACAATTATCAGTGCTGCTATTCTTTGTTCACGCATTTCATCAGAAACGTCTCACTGGGGAACTTTGTTACGAAGTAAGTTAAAACTGAGGAGTAGACAGCAAGTAAACGTATAACCAAAAAGTGCAAAATGTACCTAAAAAGTCTAAAAGAGCCCCTTTTTAAGGGCCTGAACTAAGAGTCAACGTTTTTGTGAAAATTGTGCAGGGACTTTATAGTTATTCCTCTCAGTTTTATTACAAGTTTTAGACAGCAGTTTAATGCTGCAGAACGCAACCGATTTAGATTTAAGTGTCTTGTTTAGGTTCATGGGAAGCCTTTCGCAAAAATTCCATCATATCGAGGCAAATCGTTGAAACAACGGCCAAGGATTTTGCAGGGACAAATCCGCGCTATGAAACCGTTATACTGGAATTCGCATTTTACGAATACAGTGGCCGGGTTGTTTACCATTTACTTAAGCAAAACGGTTTGGGCAGATGATAAGCAAAATTCAGGATTGGTAAATTTTCGTCTCGGAATGGTGTTTACCGTCTAAATCAGTTCAATCAGTTCCATTTGCCGCAAAAAGGTCGCGAAGGCCTGAAAGTGGTATTCAAAAATGCAAAGATGGCCTTGAAGAAATGGAACTCGAATTTCCGTTAGGAACATTCCAACCAGAAAAACAGAACTAGCTTTTCAGATATAACGTTGCTCCTGGAAATCGTCCGCTGAAACGGTAAAAAAAGTCGTGTTCCGTTCAACTTCCAAACGATTTTCTGGACACGTTTTGTAAATGGTGAACAACTAGTATCTCCACACTAACATACTGAATTTTGTTTCACTTACTTTCGCCTCGTATGGCATTTGCAGAATTGTAAGGAGAAGCTTGATGCTCTTGCCAAGGCAGTAAAAGCCAAATGGGGCTCTAAGGGAAGCGGAAAAGTTGTCAAACTGAAAGTCATCAGCGCCTATGATACAGCTGAGAAAAGAAGGCATCACACTGCACATTCTTTGCACCACGAAGGACGTGCCGTGGACCTAGCAACGGATGACAGAGACAAAAGGAAGTTAGGCGAACTGGGGCAAATGGCTTACAAAGCTGGTTTTGATTGGGTGAATTATGCAAGCAAAAGCTACATCCACGCTTCTGTTAAAATTGGTAATTCACGTTATTTAGACTTGATGAGCTCTTGGTGTTAAAAGTCGAAAAGCAAAACTCAAGAAACAAAATTGACCAATCAAAACATGGGAAAACCATGTTTTGATTGGTAAATTAAGGTTCTTGAAGTAAATGCATTCGCAACTTTAGAATACAGAAGAAAAAACTGGAACCGAAATGGGGACCGCAATGGTTTCTGGGATCATTACTGGACTAGGGAACTTAAGGAAAGGCGTTTCTGAGCCGGCGACGCACGCCAACAAGAGGTGGACTTATCACATTCTTGAGCGGTGGTTTCGCCCAAATTTTCAGTCCAACCGGAGAGTAAAGAAGCTAAGCGATACAAATTTTATATCGTCAAGGCATGTTAAGAGGGAAAAGGCTTCATCGCTCAAAAATGTCTTCTGTCCCAGAAGTCGGCCCAGTTTCCTCGTGCGTGCAGTGGGTGCCAGGCGAGGCTATTTAGCCAATGACATAAGTGAATTCTCTCCAACACGAGCGCCGACGGGACCGGGACTCAGTGTCCGTCCGCTTAAAGAGGAGTCTGCCTTTTTGGCTATCGAGTGGAATAATTTTTTTATCAAAAACGCTCACAAAATATCGAGAATTCTTCCCGACTTTATTTGTAAAAACAACCGATTTTCTGCTTGTTTTTAATTTTGAGCAGACGCGCACAGTTACCAAACTATTAAGTGATTTTCTAAATTCTAGGCGACCTTTTTAGGGTAAAAATCCGTTAAAAATGGTCAATTATACCATTTTTATAGGTGTTCGAAAATCCTAGGAGAGGCGGGCAAGCAAGAAATTTCACAAAATGTTTCGAAAATTCTAGATCTCAAATCGTCTTCCGAACATTTTCCAAAAATTGACATTGGGTGCCCTTGGCTAAACTTGCCTGTTGTGCGGTACTGTTTTTATACTGTTCATAGTGATTGTTTTTTCTGGTATTTTATATCATGCACTGAAATATTTGTGTTAGTTAACTGGAAAAGAGAAACATTCCAGTTTCTTTCAGGCAAAAAGATATATATATATATATATCCTTTTTTTCCCTTCAATTTTGCAGATGGCGCGGAGGAAGAGGGGAGTTGCTTTCCAGAAACTTCTTTGGTTCGGCTGGAAGGAGGAAGGACTAAATCAATGAAAGATCTGCAAGTCGGAGACAAAGTCGCGAGCATGGATTCCAGCGGTAAATTAGTCTACAGCAAGGTTGTTACTTTTCTAGATATCAACCCCAACAAGCCTACAAAGTATGTTTCAATTCAGACTGAAAATCCCGCTGCTCAAGTCACAATTACGGGCTCTCATTTGATCTATCAACTAAACAGAACAACGCGCCAGAAGTCAACGGTACACGCACGAGACTTAAAAGTGGATGACTTTGTTTATGTGCAAAACGGTTCCGCTTTGGGGAAGTTCACAGTTGGACGTATAGTAAGTGTAATGAGAACCCAAAACTTGGGCGCGTACGCTCCGCTCACGGAAACAGGCACAATTGTAGTGGATAATGTGCTGTGTTCGTGCTATGCTGTGATTTCAGATGCTAAACTAGCTCACTGGAGCTTTGCGCCCCTGCGATTCGCCGAGTGGTTGTTCCCAGGCTGTTCTGCCCACGATGAACCAGGAATACATTGGTATGCTCGGTTCCTCTACAAGGTCTACACGAGCTGGAATTACGTCCAGGAAAAATTCTCGTGAAAATCCCACGTCTTGAACCTTTTTGGTGGACGCTTTGCGATTCAATACTGAAGCTTCCATGGAATTTGTTTGTGTAAAACAAGTAGTTTATGTCTATCAATGCTGAATCGCTTGACTTCACAGCAATGCGGTTTTCAGTATCTAACCATTTTTATAGATAATACAACCCCTGTGTTGTTCATCTGCGGGCAGAAAAGCAAACGTTTCAGATAAAAACTCACAGAGAATTAATTACAAGATATGTCGGTGGGACCAAACTTGCTGGTTATGTGAACTCACAGAATATTGAATTTCCTAGTTGGAAGAGAACGTTTGACTATAGAACAAGGTATTAATTAAATGACATTATTAAACATGACTGATAAACACAATGTTAATTAGGCTAATTATTGTCATTTCAGCGGGCCCCCTGAGAGGCCCACTTATCGGATCCTTATCACTTTGTTGAGGAGCCTTCGGGCCGTTTCCCAGCAGGGGACACCTGGTGACGTATATACAAAGCTTAATTAGTCAAGATACCGGCAAGGCAAATTACTGTAATAGTTGTCAACAATAGCTAACAATGGGAGTGAAATTGTTTAGAAGTTTGGAATAACTGAGCCCAGAGACCGGTCATCTGAAAACCGCCATAGGCAGTGGTAGGCCACTTCGATAGAAAATTATGAACATAATATTATTGTTTTGGATATTCAGTGATGCAAAAAAAGGAATCTATAGAAATCTATAAGTCGCAAAAGAGCTATACTAAATCATTGCATCAAGGATTTCATCTAGAGACTTATTAAAGTTAGAACTACAATGTACAGAAAAAATAAATATTACCGCAACAATATACTGCCGTTATTTTTTACTGACTTGAATGGTACAAATCAAGCGTTTCATCTTTGGGACTTGAAAGTTAGAACCGCCTTGCAGAGGATAAATAACTTTATACGTAATGAATAAAGAACACCACTGGAAAAGTACAGCTCGACCCGGAGCAACTCAGTAGCTTAATTTTGTAAGCTCACTTTTTACTGAGAATTTCATCCACAGCCTAAAAAGTTAGAACCACCTCATACAGCATAATAAACAGTATTGCAAGCAATTACTGCTCGGTAGCGTTCATTTGAATGGTATAATAAACAAGACCACTGGAAAGTACCGCTAAGTAGCTTTCATAGTTTGAATGGTCACACTTGTTAGGATTTCATCCACAGCCTCAAAAGTTAAACTGACCTCCCAAAACAGCATAGAGAACAGTACCACAGGAAAGCACTGCTAAATAGCTTTCATTTGAATGGTCACACTTACGGATTTCATCCACAGACTCAATAGTTAGAATCACCTTGTACAGTATATTAAACAATACCACAGGAAAGCACTGCTCAATAGCTTTCATTCAGAGTTAGAATCACCTTGTACAGCATTTAAACAACACCACAGGAAAGCACTGCTAAACAGCTTTCATTTGAATGGTCACACTTACGGATTTCATCCACAGATTCAATAGTTAGAATCATCTTGTACAGCGTATTAAACAATACCACAGGAAAGCACTGCTCAATAGCTTTCATTTGAATGGTCACACTTACGGATTTCATCGGCAGCCTCAAAAGTTAGACACTGGTTAGAACCACCTTGTACAGCACATTAAACAATACCACAGGAAAGTACTGTTTAGTAGCTTTCATTTGACTGGTTACACTTTAGGATTTCATCCACAGACTCAAAAAGTTAGAACCACCTTGTACAGCATAATAAACAATACCACAGGAAAGTACAGCTCAGTAGCTTTTTCAAAAGTTAAGTAGGGGAAAACAAACATTACCATAGGCAAGTTCTGCTCAGTAGCTTTCATTTGAAACTTACACTTCAATAGGAATGAAGCTCATCCACAACTCAAAATTCAACTGACAATGTGAAATAAACAGCAGGGGCACCCAACGTTAATTTTCGGAAAATATCTGTTCGGAAGACGATTTCAGATCTAGAATTTTCGGAACATTTGTTGCAAAATTTCCTGCTTGGCTGCCCCTCCTAGGATTTTCGAACTTTTAAAAAATGGTATAATTGCCCATTTTTAACCAATTTTTACCCTAAAAAGGTCACCTAGAATTTTCGGGAGCCTCTTTTCTGCCTGAAATTTTCGAAAAGGTCAGTTTTGATCCCTATAATTTTCGGATCACTAGACTTTCAGCTAGGAAATCCGAACAGAAGACAAATTTTAAGGGAATAAAAATATGCCTATATCTACCGTTTAAATACTAAAATACGTTTAACAAATGCGGTGTTTAAGTGGTTTGGAACTACATTCTCGTTGGGTGCCCCTGATGAATTACTGGCTCCGTTTTGAAACTTCTTTAACTAAAGGATAGCGGTTAAGTCTTCAAGATCAGTTCCCCACGTAAATGTTCAACCTTGAACTGAAATTTTACCGGCACACAAAGGACAGGCAGAAAGCCGGGGGGGGGGGGTTACTCCCCTATAAAAGTGACGGGGGTGCTCCTCCTACCTTTTAGGGGTTTAATTTGTGGATTGGTATCGCTGAGTGTTCTAAAACCTAAAATGACTGCCACCAGAGTTGATACGCTTTATGAGGATAAAGATTTATGACAATACTTTCATGAAAAGTCCTTGAGAAGAAAGTGTCCGAAAGTTATCTTTATTACGATTAAAATTTGCAGTGCCAGTTATGTAATTTGTTGTTGTTGAGTTGGTAAGGCTATTAGGGGTGGAAATGAATTTGGGACACGTCCATAAAACAAGATCCTGGTGCCTTCTAGGGGTGTTGTCGAAATTTTCCGACAAGCACCCCCGTCACTTTTATACTGAAGCACCCCCCGCCCCCCGGGCTGAAAGTTCATGCTCAGGTTAATTTTGTCTGATCGATGATTTATAACATTAATATAACAGCGGGATAGCTTTTTTGTAAAAGTATTTTGTCTATGGCAAAAACTATATTTTGACTTATCAATCAAAAAAAGATAAAAGACGCAGAGAAAGCGCTGAGATGAGAGCAGAAATTAGTTTTGTTATCTTAGGCAGTTTAAAAAGAGACCCATCTTTGTTATTTCCTTTTGATAGATAACGCCAAGAGCAAGCTCACTTTTCAAAAGAATCACTTAGGATGGTATTTAGTAAATACCCTTAAGTACAAAATTATGTACTTTAAAAACCACACAAGAATTTTAAACTTAATTCAATTAACCCTATCCATAACAAATATTAGCAGAATGATTTATTATTCCTTCGATCCAATTCGGCAGATCAACCGGCTTTTATATCTGATTTATCGTGAACATTGACGATCAGTCCATACAAAAAATAAATATCAATAAGTCAATAATAATCTAATAGTACACTTTTAAATTCTTAACTTGTTCCTTACTTGAAACAGGGGCACCCAACGACAATTTTTTGAAAATTATCTGTTCGGAAGACGATTTGAGGTCTAGAATTTTAGGATCATTTTCTGAAAAATTTCTTGCTTGCCTGCCTCTCCTAGCATTTTCGAACCTCAAAAAAATCGTATAATTGCCGATTTTTAACGGATTTTTACCCTAAAAAGGTCACCTAGAATTTTCGGGAGCCTTTTTTCTGGCTGAAATTTTCGAAAAGGTAAATTTTGATCCCTATATAAATTTCCGGATCACTATACTTTCAGCTAGGAAATCCGAACAGATGAACAATTTTTAGGGGATAAAAATAAGCCATTATCTACCGTTTAAATACTAAAGTACGTTCAACAATGCTATTTTTATGTGGTTTTGAAATATATTCTCGTTGGGTGCCCCTGTTGAAAATAACCGGTAAATTTTCTTATCCATACTTTACTAATCTACATGTGGAACAAGGAATGATATTTATGTCACCATAATTAACACCATTAAAATTATGGTATAATGCAAAAATCTTCCGTTTACTGAATGCTTAAGATTTTTACAATTCTTTTACATTTAAAAACTAGAAATCCATAAAACTCGAAACTTGCTAGTTGCTTCCCAGCAGTATCAGTGCATCGTGTTAGCTGCATTGATCAAAGCAAATTTTAACGCAACAAGGTAGGAAGGTAGAGGATCTCCCTCTTTATTTTTGATTACTGATACAATCTATTAATGTGCGTGACTGAAATCCGTCGCAGATTTGGCTCAAGTGTCCAAAAATTAGATTTCTTAGTTTATTTTCGGATTTTAAATCAAGTTATACAGACCACGTACGCTTTGATTATCATTATAATCTCATCTTAACCGCAGCTGGATTAGCTCCGTCGGTAGAGCGCTTGACTACAGAGCGGGAGGTCGCGGGTTCGATTCCCGAGACCGGACCAACACTCGGGGTCTTAAAATGACTGAGAAATAAAGGTATTGCCTTAGACTGCAAAACAGTCCGTATTATTGCGTATTTAAGTACGCGCGAACAGTCAAACAAAAGGTCTGGAACGAGGCTGAAACACGCCCTACGGGCGTGTGAGGCTCGCGCGCTTCACGCGCTTAAGACTTTTACGTCACGCTTTACCGATTTCTTTACTGATTTTGAGAAAACAACCGACTGTTTTGCAGTCAAGTATTGTCTTTACCCTGCAAATGGCAAGACCTTCGCGTGGCTCAGATGACCACGTAAAATGGCGGTCTCGTCTCCGGTAGGAGACGTAAAAAAATAGTGTCCCAAATTAGTACCCTCGTGCTAAATACATTGACACTCAAATGAAGTGCACTTTTTCATCACATCGATTTTAAATACTGCCAGCTTCTTTATGTTTGCAAAAACCATTGTGCATTCAACGACTTTTTTTCTGTAAAATGTCTTTTCGAAAGAGCAAATATTGCCTAGAATTTTCTAAACTCCGAGAAGGGCTTAAGATTTCTGAATAACCGATTTATTTGTCTAAGATATTCGGAATTTCCTACTAACTTTCCTTAGATTTTCGGAGCTAGTCTTTCACATTATATTACCTGAAAGAAATTGCGATTATTGTTTGAAAAATGGTCTCCTGAAAATTTCGGTATGACGAGGAAATGTTCCCGGTGAGAATTCTAACGAAAGGACGGATACTTGATGACCTTGAACGTTCGAACGGAATCAACATGTTACCTAACAATTTATTATTATTATTAAATTATTATTATTAAAAGTTCCCCTGAGACATCCGAACAAATAAACATAACGAAAAGCATTTGAGACAATTCTGATGTGTGGAAACACTCCGGTCGTTGGAAAATTGGACCAGCGCAGTTTTTCTATGTCTTACTATTTATCTGGAAATTATATATATATATTTAAAAAAAATCTAGCGCCGGTCTGCCACGGACGCGGGTTCGAGTGCCGGCCGGCAAAGGCGTTTGCAAACCCCGATGATTTTCAAGGATATAAAATCTTTCAATGTCGCTATACGGTTAAGAGCTTATGTCTGCGTTTGAGCCAAGAGGTTCATCAGGCCGGAGCTTAACCCAATTTCTGTATAGCATGAAGCGATCAGGAATGTTTATAACCCCCTTGGACAGGGTGCCAGACCATTGCAGGGTTACCCCTGCCCCGGGCCCCAGCATTACATTCCCGGGTGCCCAAGTATGCCCCCGGGATGGAAAGAGCAGTGGTAAGAGAGAATGAGCTAAGCTGTGGTGGAGCCTGGGCGAGGGTCCCGGGAGGGAGGGAGGGGAGGGGCAGAGGTCCTGCCCTCTAAATTCACCCATCAGACTAGAATGACCGAGTGAACTGAAATTGAAGAGTTACAAGATAAGAAATATCTTGTAATGGGTAAAAATGATGAAAAGTTCTTAGGCTGAGAAGAAGCTTAGTCTCAAGAGAAAAATCATCGTGGATCAGCCAAAGCATGTTGAGGCACTGTCTCAATAACAATAACTTAACACTGATTCCAGCAATATCTGAACACCCCTCTTGATACAGAGTGCAGCACACTGAACATTAGGCCACCGTGGCGCCTAATGTCGTTCTGGTACTGAAGCTTTATAACTAGTCAGTCTCTCACAAGTAAACATTAGGCCACCGTGGCGCCTAATGTCGTTCTGGCACTGAAGCGTTTTAACCAGTCAGTCTCTCACAAGACAAATTAGC